GAGTAAATATGGCAATATATTCAAGAGATATTCATTCATTCATTCATTCATTTATTCATTCTGAAGGGCACATATGTTCACCAAAGAGAGAGAGAGAAATAAAGCACTTCCACAGAGGACACGGTCATGCTGCAATCCTTTTTCTTCTCTTTCCTCATCCCATCAAGATTTGGGACAGACACACATATACAGCTGTTTCTCAAGCCACCAAAGGTGAAATGTGAACTATGGTTGGCCATATGGGATCTATGGTTGCTTAACCATTGTGCCATAGGGCCATCAGGAATAGTTTAAAATAATAATAAAAATGGAGTTGTCTACTAAATTTAAAAGTGTAGAAAAATGCTTCAGACATTTAAATATCTGACACTGGTATTAGAATAGATAAATATCAATGGAACCGAATAGAAAAATCCAAACTAAACTCAGATATATATGGAGAAAAGCATAAAACAAAGGGGGCATTTTAAAACAGTGCTTGGAAAACTGGGCCATTGGAAGGAAAGCAGGTAGAGCTCTACCCTAATCATTTAGAAAAATGAATTTTATGTATGTGAAATTTCTAAATTTAATATAGTAATACATAATATATATGTACATATAAATACATACACATGAATTTGAAGAAAAAATGGCCTTGCCAAGTATCACTTAGAACTCAGATGTCACAAAGGAAACAATCGCTTTGTTGATTTGATTACATTAAAAAACTAAATTTTCATATAGTAAAAGACAGCACAGCTCTTTCTGGCATCTTTCTGTGGTGCCATAACAATCCACATGAATGTCCAGGTTGAAGGGCTCAAGAGCATCGACAATGCCCAAAAAACAGGCAAATGCCAGGTTCCTATTAAGCTGTGTTCTAAAATCATTGTCCCAGTTTCTAATATGATGATGAAGCCTGGTTACATGAGCAAATTTGAAATCATCCATGACCACAAAGCTGGAAAAAATTACTGTGAACTTCACAGGCAGTTTAAACAAATGTGGAGTGATCAGCCCTAGATTTGATGTGCAACTCAAAGATCTACAGAAATGGCAGAATAATCTGCTCCCATCCCCTCAGTTTGGTTTCATTGTACTGACAACCTGAACTGGCATCGTGGACCATGAAGGAGCAAGACAGACACAGGAGGTAAAACCCAGCAATTTCTTTTGTAGGGATGTAGTACACACACACACACACAAAGACAGCATAAAGGTAAACCACATGAACCATACCCAAAGTTAACAGGATGGCAAAAATGACTAAGCTCCTCTGACAAATCAATAGTCAAGGCAACAGCCTAGAAGACAAATGGAGCACAAAAAAATGATTTATTGAAGCACACAAATGGTCAATAACATTGCTTTGTTAAATATTTGATATTAAGTTTTGAGTATGTAAATGTATTTTGCTCTATAAAAGCTGACAAAAGACATGTTGAATATATATACATACAGAAAGCTTCAGTATAAAAAACTGGAAAGTGTTCTATCAAAAACTGATAAGTGTTTGTATATATTGTTTTCCTCTCATTTTTCACAAAAAGGAATTCTATATACATCATTTGTACAGGATTTCTTTTTTCACTTAATTTTACACACATACGCACACATGCATAATTTTAGCTAAAGAGAAAAATGACAAGAAGGATTTATATTAGAGTGGATTACAAGTGGTTATGTTCTCTTTGTTTACCTGTATTTTATATATTCTTTACATTTTTCACAAGGCAAAAAGATTTTAAGGGTATAATATTTTTAAAAACAGGATTAGTTCCACTGTTGTTTAAAAGCACTTATGAGGTTTCACTCTTCAAATAATCCAGATAATTAAGTTCCTAAATTTGTGAAAAGATGAAATCATCAGATGTAAATCCTATTCTTAGTCAATGTTCCTACATATACATGATCTCCTAATTAATCATTTATACCTTTAATTGTAATAAATTATTGACAATTACTGTGATAATCATTTTTATATATGTCAGAGTGTGTGTATGTGTACATGAGAGAGAGAGAGAGATAAAGCACCCTCAGTGGGGCCTAGTAATGCTGCAATCTTGTTTCTTTGGTTCCCCATGTTGTCAGGATTCTGGTCACGTGTGCACACACTCAGAAGGCTTTTCAAGTTGCCTAGGCTGAAACTCAAACCCTAGCTGACCTTGTGGGATCCAGCTTCCTCTGTACAGTGCTTAACCACTATGCTCCAGGGACAGGCCAATTAACTGTGATAATTCTAATACTAGGAGCCATAGGATGTTTACCTCAACACATTAAAAAAAAACTATTAAAAGGCAAATATCTTTCAATAAGAAGTTTACATTTTAATATTCAGCTAGTTAAAAGAATGATTTGTTTATTAAAGATGTACAACAAAATTTGAGGCACTAAGAAATGACAAATGTAATGTACCATGCTTTATAAAGCACAATCATGAGAAGCCATTAAAGCAGAACTAGCATTAAAGGCAAAGGCAAAGTATTGTTAAAAATAAATTTTGAAGGTGGTGCCTATTTTGAGACCATCTGTCTATTTTGTTTAAGTTAGTACTGGGGAGAGAGGAGAAGAGCAAATCTGCAATTTAGATCCACAAAAGAAATAATCAACACAATTTTAACTTAAATAATATACTGTTTGAATCAACTAACAGGATAAAACATAAACCTGAATTTATGATCTAGAAAAACATCTGAGGAATGGTTATTACACACTATCGAGTTAGTGCAATTAAACAAAGTCAAGGTCATATTTAAATTGGGCATAAACAAAATGGGATTTCAAGTAATTCAGCTATTTTTTGCTTTCATAAGCAAACACAGTTCTGCTGACTGTATAATTTCTAGCATCCTTGTCTTGGATTCAAGTGAATAGAAAGAAAAAATGTTTTTTTTTTTTTTTAATTTTGAAAAACAGAACTTATACAGGCACTGAGAAAGAAAAAAATAGATTAGAAACTTGAGAATGAAAACCTTTGAATTAGAAAAAATTTGCATTAAAAGATTGGTTGTGATTCAAAGGTCATCCTACTAAATCTTATCTCATCTAAAATCATCTTTGCCTGTCCCCTCTGGCTCTGTGCTCAGCAGCATTTCTGAGCCGGCCACTGTCTCAATCAACTCTTGTATGTGCTAACACTGTCTAGAGGACCAAGCTTAATTTCCTATAGTGCATAAGTATTTGGAGGAAAATCAGGACTAGCTGGGCCAAACTATTAGTCTAACAGAAAAGAAAGCAGGGTGGGGTGGGGGGTAGACAGAGGAAGAAAAGAATAAGTGAGGAAATCATTGATTTAAGTGAGACTATCAAGGTATCTAATAAACAATTTGCGAAGATCAAACCAGTTGACAAAGGAGAATGTAGGCGGCATGTAAAGGCTGGAGAAGCTTCTCTATTATACTAGAAGGAAGGGTTCTCTCATGTCCAGTATTTTTCTTTTTAAACAGAGGACCAGAAACTTGAGACTACAGAGTCCAGTCTGTCAAAATGTGAGGCGATTATTACAAATTTGGACTGGAATTTAAACATCTAAGCATGCAACATGATTAATGTTAAAGGAGAGGAGGGGACCGGACAAAGCACACAGGCGAGGCTCCTTAGTTAGAAATGATAGGGAAGAAAGAATACTTTAGCTAAGACTGAAAGGGTAGGGTGGAGTTGAACAACAAACATCAAGGAAAGGGGGTTTCCTTGAGAAAGAGGAGACAGATTCTGTAAAAGCCCAAAGGCAAGAGAAGTGTTAAAGAGGAAGTGAAAGTAGCACAGACTTTGAGGAGTGCAGAGCAATAGAAGTTTAACTCTCAAACTCATGAGAATTCCTAATACTTTACAATTTCAAAAGCTCTCTAAACCAGGGGCCAGCTAGTGGCATGGTGGTTAAGGCTGTTAAATCCTACATGGCTGATTACATGGTTCGAGTCCAAACCTGGTAGCTTGAAAAATATGCCAGGTTGGGACCAGCAGTTGGCATAATGTCCGTGTCATTGGACTCCCATGTAGTCAACCACGATTTGAGTCCCAGACCCAGTAACTCAAACTCATACCGGGTGCCTGTGCGTGCATGCTCAAGATTCCGAGAGGAGACTGGAGTAGAGGGGATTGCAGTGTGGCCATCCCCCCTGGGGGGTGATTTCTCACTTTCTGTCTCTCTGTTTCTCTCTCTCTGACTTTCTGGAGAGCACACGCACACCTATAGCAAAAACCTCTCCAAAAAAAAAAGAAAAAGAAAAAAGTAAAACATGCCAGGCTGTGTGTGTGTGTGTGTGTGTGTGTGTGTGTGTGTGCACAAAAATCCTGAGAGTAGAATGGAGATGGGATTGTGGGTGGTTTCTTACTCCCCTTTCCCGATCTCTCTCTGAAGAGCACATGTGGCTCTATATCAAACTTAAAAAACAAACCAACAAAAAAACCTCTAAACTAAACCAACACACTCCATTTCATAAGTGTAAGGTATTTTTGACATACCTTGTATGTCATATTAGTAGCTCAGTTTCAAATATAAATGATATATTACTACTATGCTATAAAACCTACATATATTGTTAAAGTTTTTTTTATAAAAGGAAACTTTTAAAAAATGAGCTCAACAACAAAAGGAAATCAAAGTTCTAATAGAAGAAATAAAAACTTTCCAAGGGACATTCTCATGAACCTGCTCCGGCGACCACAGTGATAATGCACATGAAACCTTCTAATAAGTGACTCTTGCTTATTTCTTTCATATAGACAATAAATTCTACACATGAGACTAATTTTTTTAAAGGATTTAATGTCATGACACCCCCTTTCAGGGCATCAAACTCATGATCTTCCAAGTAAATCCAGCATTACTAGTAGTGTATTACTGCCAGGCCACTGAAATGACCTGGGACATTTTATTTTTGATTTAAAGGCAACATATTATTCAAATACCATGTACAGAATATTCCTGCTTCTTGCTCTATAGGCATTCCTTTACAGGGAATTAAGCAAATGGTCTTACAATTTTGATTATGAAAGAAAAATTCCAACCACAAGAATCACTGAGGTCACCATTTACTCTTGAATGGATTCAACATGTTATCGCCACTTCCTTGACAAGAATTTCAAACGTGTACAGTTGTGTGGCTCTCTCGAAGCCTTATGTTTCTTACTGCAAGGAACAGAGAAGAACAGATGGGTTTAGTATTCAAAAAGCAATTATAAGGGCTCTCAAAAGAAAAATAGAAGAGGGAAGAAGAAGAAGAAGAAGAAGAAGAGGCGGAAGAAGAAAATACAGTATAAAGGACCTACCTTTTAAAAACAGAATTATTTTATTTATTATTGTTGTTGAGAGAAAGTGAGAAAGCAAGCCACCAGGTCAAGGACTTGAATAGCCATGCGCAAGTCCAGTGCCCTAACCACCATGCTATCTGCTGGCCCAAGGACAAGCATTTATAGCTTTCCAGACACCTCCCAATTTGAAGTAAAAATTCAGTATGCTCTATATCACTGCATCCCCTGGTGTGGTGGCCAGACAATGAGTGTTCAAGTCTTCCTGGGTTTGATCTGGCTCTACTATTTACTATGTAATGTTAGGCAAGCTATGTAACCTAAGTCTTTGGTTATTTATCTATAAAATAGATAAGATTTGAGGACTGATTAATAAACTAATATATGTAAGGTGCTTAGCACAATGCCTGTGTTGTTGTAAGCAGTATTTAATACCATCATAACTGCCCAAAGAAACAAATATACATGGTACATACTGTCACCTTTTTTGACAGAGCATAGTGTTATGTAAATTATAAATACTTTTTTTGCTCTGGTTTTCACAGAATTTTGTCTCCCTCAGTGATCACTGTTCCTTTCTAACGTCTGTCTGAATTAGTGCCATTGCATTTAGATTTAAAAGGTAGAGAAAGGAGGCTATCAAACACGCTCTGCAAAGCAGCAGGCAGAGTCCTGAGGACCAAGGGTATGGATGAGATAAAAGTAATTAAATCACAAGGGCAGTGGTTCCAGCAGCAGTCCTAGCTCATGCCAGGCAGAGCCTGTGGTTGGACAGGCTTGGCGAGCGAATAGGCACGAGAGGTAGAGGTTTCATTTCCCAAATATGAGAGTGAGAAGCTGTGAGATGGTTGTTGGGAGAGAACAGAAAAAGTCTCACAGAAGAAGAAGCCTATGAAAGTACAAAAGGAAAAAGGTCTCCAAAAAGTTCACAGAAAATGCATATGATAGACAAATTATGCATAGATGTCAAAAATGTTTTTGCACCAAAGTAAGCTTGCACTTTAATTCCATTATTTCCACAGACTTTTTGAAGTCTCCTGGCACACATACTTTTTTCCTAAATCTAATATTTAACTGTGTATCTTACAACAAGCCACATACAATGCTAGGTGCTTTCACAAGTTGTCTTTATCCTGTTTAACAGATGAAACAACCAAGGCTCAGAGACAATAAACTGCTTGCCCAAGATTATATAAAGAAAGCAGAAATCACAGTCATAGGTGGCACTTGTTGACTGTAGTGACAGTTAAAATCTGGGGACATCTGAAGGACCAGGTGCAAGAGAAGAAAGCTAAAGAAAAATGACCTGCCCTCCAAGTTTTTAAGAGACAGGATTAGGATGTCCCACTTGACTGATACAACAATATTTGCATTTAAAAGTCATTGGAGGCCACTGCTGGCAAGGTGGTTAAGGCACTGGATCCCACATAGCTGACTCCATGGTTTGAGACCCAGGCCAGGCAGCTTGAAAAATAACCTGGTACACGTGTATGTGCCCAAAATCCCAAGAAGAAAATGAACGAGAACAGATTGCGGCATGGCTATCCCCTGGGTGTGTGTGTGGGGGGGGAAGGGGTGACTTCTCACTCTCCCTTTATGTCTCTATGTTGAGTGCATATACCCTGTGGCAAAAAACTAAAAAAAAAAAAAACAAAAAAACAAAAAAAAAACTTAGTAAGTAAGACACAAATTCTTAGTCAGCCAGACACAAAAGAACAAATATTTTACAATTCCACTTACATGCTGTACCTAGAATGAGCAAACTTACAGAGATCAAAAGTAGAATTGTGATGATCGGGGTTGGGGGGAGAGTTTCTGTTTAGGAAGTATACGATTCCAGTTTGGGATGTGCGCATGTCCTGGAGATGCATGATAGTGATGGCTGCACAACAGTGTGAATGTACTTGCTGCCACAGAACTCTACACTAAAATATGGTAGAGTGGTATCTTACCACCACCACAGTAACACTTTTAAACCACAGTGTCAATGATACCGACCAGTACTGACTGTCACAATGCTGATAGGCTAAATGCGTTTCATGTACTCTGCTATTTAATGCCCAGGTAAGTACTGAAGAGAATGAAGCAACACTCAAGTTCCTTACCTAGTCTTTATATATAGTGAGCAGAGAGCAAACGGTAGAGCAGGACTTGGACTCGAGTCTATTCCAATGCTTACACGTTATCTTTATCATCACATGCTCAGGACTTCATAGAACTTTTTAAAGTTTACCTACATCTGTCAATCTTTTATTTGTTTTTGTATCAGACCAAAGGCAAAGTTCAAATAAATTTAAAAAAAAACACCATGACTTCATATGCTAATGCTGACAAGTGGCTTTATTGTCAGCTGATACTTTTTCTCTATTGAAACTTTCCTTCATCTGTAGAACCTCAAATACACAGCAAAGGGAATTCTGGGTGTAACATCTCTGGTAATAGATTATAAGTTAGACAGTAAGATGGTGGAGCAAGTGAATTTACTCCCTCTCCCTTGCTGTCTCCGCTGTCAGTTTCAGATCAAGAACCACTATGAGCATTTGATGGCCTCCTTTATGATTTTGAGAACAGACTTCTCTTCCTTTACTTGATTTTTGTCCTCATATGGTATCCTCTCTCCTGGGTAGGCCCATCAGTGACCCTACATCCTTGGTAAGCAAGTGACCTTGACAAGGACAGAACTGTTTTGGAGGATTGAATGTTATTGTTACCACATACTGCCTGAAAATGAGGCCAGTACTCAGGAGAGCAGTCAATAGATGGACAGAGTACTGCTGAAGTTGGTTAAAAATGCTTGGCCTTTGTTCCAGGAATGTCTGCCACACAATGGGCGTCCAATTATATTTTCTCTGAAATAACATGTTGTCAAGCCAATTTATCAGAACTCTAAAATCTTGATTTCTGTAATGAGGCCCTAAGCATAATCTCTTCTCATTTCATTTTCCCCTTCCTTTCTTTGTTCCTTCCTTCAATAAATACATGTTGCAAAGCAGGCAACACAGAACCTACAAGATAAGTATCACACACTGCAGAATGCAGGGTCAGAAACATTTTCTGGTAGCACAAAAGAAGCATCTCTGCCCCTGTGAGAAGAGCATTCCAGGCTGAGGATGGTTGGTGCAGCTTAAGGGGACTGGCCCAGAGTTTGGGGAGATCAAGGAGGCCAGCTGACTGATCTCCGTTGTTGCCTGAGTTTCTCCTGTGAAGATGGTGATCTGGCTAATACAGTGGGGTTCTCTAGCGTATCTGTACCCTTTCTTCTAAGGAGATCTCTTTTGCCCTTGGGGTATAAGCACCTGTGAGTAGAGTACCCTAACTCTAAGCCTTCAGTTCTAATCTCTCAGTCCCAACCCAGGCAAGAATATGTATTTTTTTAAAATTGCTTTCCTGAACTCTCCTCTTAGATCTCTTCCCATTTCCTCCAGATCTACATGCCTACCCCCTACACACCCAACCATCTCCTCTTCCTGGTAATACCTTCCTTCACAATGTCCTTTTAAGTTCAAGAGGCTTACAGCCTCAGAGTAACCTTTGTTCTCTTTTCCCTGGTATTTCATGTGTTATCAGGTATCCAGACCAGACACCAATAGCCAAAACTCCATAGATGGCCCTCCACCAAGCTACTGAAATGATTAGACAAGTGGGCATTGTCTGCCTATTGTAATCAAGAGGAAAATTTCCTTTTCCTTTTCAACTCATCTGCAGCGTGTTTTATCTCTACTTGGAAATGTCTACTGAGATAGTCTGGAGAACTGCAAACCACACTTCCAGATAAGCTTTCAGGATTCATGCATTATGAACAAATCATTTTAAACACAATGAAAATGTTCTAGGGCAAGTGTTTATGCATCACTTCCCTTTTATTTAAGTCAGTTAAGGCTAGCAGTTGGGTTCCCCGAAGCTGTTCCTACGGTGCCTATGAATTCTAAACTATTTTGACTTTCTTTCATGCTAGCTACTAAAGTGATGTGAAGACTCCCACAGCAGTCAGTGCTATGCAAGGGTTCTTAAACAATCTAAGTCGTGTCTTTATAGAAACAGCATGCCTATTCTCTCCATCATTTATTTTTTTTTAACTCATAAGTATCCCCCCCCTTTTTTTTTTTAAAGCATTTCCTTATTAACTTCATGCACCCTCTGTACTTCGGCATTCAAACCTAAATATTTGACACTTTTGATTACCTGAGAAATAAGCAGTCTGTAGGAACAATAAAACATGACTTATCAAAACTAATTAAATTCAGTATTAATGACGTGAAGATTTTATTTTAACTCTAGCTAGGATATATGTAGTCTTACTAATGGTTAAGAACAATACACAGCATAAAAATGCTAATAGAAGTTATTATGACTAATACTAAGACAAAAATACAAAGTAAAATGATATAAGGTATACAATCCTTGTCAGACAATGGCTAAATCTCAAAATTTACTTTAATGTCACTTATGAATTAGAAACATATTTAATATATTTATCCATAAATGCTTTCTTTGCTCTACAGTGAACTTTTTCACATTATGGCACATAGGAAACAATAGTCTTTGTGTCAACACTGAAGTAAGTGGATGAGGTTGCTTGCAACCTACGAAACCTGGGATATAGAGCTCCAGGTCTTGCCCAGCTTCACAGGCAGAGGGGAGAGATATCTGCATATTCTCATACACATTCGTGGATGAGAAGCTTTAATCTAGAAAATAGGAAGGTGATACAGCATACTGGTCCTAAGCCCAGCTCTAGAATCAAACTATAGTATGTTTTGAAGCACTTCTTAACCATGAGAGCTTACTGCCTTTTAGCGTCCTCATCTGTAACCAGGGCTAATAAATCCCATCTCATGGGGTTAGACCACCCCTGTAAAGGGTCTAACCTAAGGTAGGAATTAAAAAAATGATAGCTGTTATGTTGTAGTCAAATTCTGGGACTATTTGAATATCAGACTGTGAGTAAACCAGATCAACTGTAGTGGAATAGAGAGGCACACAATTTCCCAGGAGATGAGTAGGAGGGTCACTAGAGAAAACGCTACACTGTTACTATGGAAATCTACATGCTCTACTCAAAAGAGTCCTGTTACCACTAAACTAGATTGTGGTTACATTTTTCCAAAGAATAATTCCAGACAAATAATAGAATTCAATGGGCAAACAGTATCTAACTTACAGGATTTACACCTCAGGTCTCTATTTCAGAAATGAGTCACCTTCCACATTAAAGAAAATAGCACTTATTTATTTCAACCAAACAAGTATTTCCTCAGGAAGAAACTAAGGTAATATAGGCTTTGCAATACAGCAACAAAATTTAATGAATTTGTGAATTTAATGAACGCAAGAGAAATTTAACCTATCTTGAAAGGAGATATAATATATGAATTAAACAGAGTACTTATTAACATAAAAGGAGTATTAATACTTAAATATTAGATAGATTTAATTCTTAAAATTTCTATCTCTACCTATATTACTTAATTAGCCTCATATTATCAATTCATATATTGTGTGGCAAATGGTCAAATTTAATTAGTACTATATTTTCCACAGATAAAATTAGAATATAATCAATATCTGAAATCTGCTGAAAATTATTTTGAGTTCTCTATATTTCCATCTATGGAGAAATTGCCACAAAGTAATTTCTTCACAAAATTGCAACATAATTCTATTCTGGGATAATCCAAATCTCAATAAACATAAAATAGAGTAAAACTTAAGATAGACAAATTTTCAACATTAATTTATAAAGGGACCTGGGAAAAAATATTAGGACACTTTTATTGTCAGTATTCTCAGTGATGGGAATAATTTCATGCATATAAAGCAATTCTATGGCATCTAAAGTAATTCTATGAATTCTATGAATTCAATAGAATTCATCCAACTACTGACTGTGTTGCTATTTCAATGACTTTTTAATTTTTTGCTTGTTTACATGGTGGAAATGTCAATATATTTTCTCAGTTATATATATAATAATGACAATATTTAGCTCATATATACAACATTTTCCTCTAGAAACATAAATGCTCTGCTGTAATTTTAATTACAAATTGAAGACAATAAACCATAGTAATTATAACTCAGTATTGTAAAGCCAATCCCATAATTTTCTTTATATATATAACATATACATATATATTATACATATTTAATAGAAAAAATAAGAACACTTTTATGGAGAAAAACTGTAACAATAACATTTTCAGAGTAATATATTTTTCTTCTGATTTCTAAAAATCTGTGCCTATGCATCTAAAAGAAACTCCTTTTCATGAAATATAAAAATGATGAATATAAAAGATCTTAAAACTAAACCATTGCCTAGTGGTTAAGGGAGCCAATCCCAGAGCCAACCATGCTATTCAAGTCTCAGCCCCACTGGTTGAAAAACACAGTGGGTGCATGTGCATGAATGCCCCAAATCCTGACAGGATGGGAAGATGAAGGAGAAGGGATTATGACAAGATCATACACCATTTGGGGTACTTTCTCCCCACTCTCTATCTTTGGCAAGAGCACATACCCTCTGACAAAATTTTTTAAAAATTTAAATTACTGAAAGTATGAGAAGAAAAAATAATTTCTAAACTCTAATGATCATGTTAATTACCCTGAGTGCCATAATATCACTTAAAGAATTTATTAAATAATTCAGAAAGTTTCTGTCAAATTTATGAGAAATTAAGTATTTTTGTTTGCAGTAACCCAGAAAAAGCAAGATCCTCTGGCATGGCATTATTGTATTTAATTGTACCTTCTACATTTACTTCACATATGAAAAATAACTTGGTGTGAACCTTTTTTTAGTATTTATTAAATCCAGTAAACAAGTAGTATTCCACCTGCACAAGGTGGTATTAATTTTACCATTTAGTAAATCAACAAATACCTATAATGTATCTACAAGGTGCCAGGCACTGTACTAGGTGTTAGCCAAAAAGCAATGAATGTGACAGAGAACAAGACAAATGCTTCTGAGAAGGCCAGGGTGTCAAAGTACAGAATTGAGTGTGCATTACTAGGCATGTCTAAGACGCCAGGAAACATTTTAATTCCATATCTCTGCTTTATCTGAGCCCTTATCACTGTCCCTGGTCTACTCCAGGAAAGGAAGAGCAGTCATGCCCAGCCAGGCTAGAGACAAAAGAGATCTTTTCCCAGTCACTTCCTCCTTTTACTTTGGATAACTGAAGTAGGAGACAGAGACCCTAAAAACATAGGATAAGGGCCTAAAATGGAATCACAAAAAGGCCTAACAGGTATAGCTACAAAATGTTAGCTACTTTTCATTTAATTTATACAACATATATATATATATATATATAAAACTAACCCATTGCATTTCATTATCTTTCAGAAACACATCAGTTTATAAAAATTAAATAGAAATGTTCGTGAAGGAATACTTAAGTAGCTTCAAGCCTATTGTATTTCTTAAGAAACCTCTCATTTACAACTCCCTCTGATGATTACATTGACAGTTAATTGAAAGTAAGAGTAGTTGACTCACTTTTACATATGTAATGAAGCAAATAGTTACCTGTTTGTTAACCCAGGGAAGTATCTAATGAGTCCCAGGAGAAACATAATTCACAAAGCTCTTTGAGGAGTAAGCTTATTGCTTGTGCAAATTTAAAACCAGATTTAAAGCCCAGTCACTACTGCAATGGATGATGCTGGACTGAGAAAGGAATGGTCAGCTCACTTAGCCTCAGGGAAAATTAAAATAGATACCAAGGCTGACAAACCTCACCCATTGGAATGCCTTCCTCTTGGCTAAATATGCAGGTTCTGCCTTCATTCCATTTTAGAACTCTGAGATGAATGAGTAGTTTAATTGTTCTATCATAATGAGTCTCCTTAGATGTTCTTCCTCTTATAACTAATCTACAAACATTGAAGAGCATTAGGATTTAATTACAGTCTCTCTTTAATGTCTATTCCCTTTCTCCAGGAGATATTACCACTTTCAATGGCTTTATATGCTAATGACTCCAAAATTTATCTCTCTACCCCAGACTCCTACTCTAAGTTCCAGACCAATAATAACCACCTGTTCAATAATTTCTCTACTTGGATGTCTGATAGGCTTCTCAACTATAACATGTCTAAAACAGAACTTTTCAAATTTCCTTCCAAACTTGTCTCCTCAGCCTTCCCCACTACAATAAGTGGCTAACATTCACTCATTTGCTCAAGACAGAAACAAAAAATTATCTTTAATGTTATCACTCATTTCCAATTCATTAATGAATATGGATAACTCTATCACACAAATCTACTATGGAATTTACCTGTTCTTGTACAAACAGTTGGTCCAATGTTATCTGGACATCAAAAATAGCATCTAACTTGTCTCAACTTTCCCTATTGCCCCCTTCCAATTCATTCTCCATACACAATCAGGTTTACTTCTTGAAAAATAAGGATTTCAAATTTACAGTGAAGTTCCAGGAATAGTGCAAAGAGCTTAATTTTTCTGAATGCAGTTTAAAATACAGTAACTCATTCATTATCCCTGGATTCTTCAGTATTTCCTTTTCTGCCTCTTTCCTTCAAAACCAGGAAATAAATATTAGTCCATTATTAGCATCAAATACAAAGAACTAGTTTAAGCTTTCTAATTATTTTTACATCTTTTGTGATCAAAAGATTCGATCCGAGATCACACATTGCATTAGCTGTCATTGTCTCTTCGGGCTTCTTCAATCTGTAGCAGCTCCAATCTTTCAGTAACATAATCTTGACACTTTTGAAGACTGCTGGCCCATTATTTTATATAATCCTGCTCAGTTGGGTTTGTTTGGTGCTCCTCTTGAAGAAATGGAGGTATGTATTTGGGGCAGAAATATCACAAAAGTGATGCTTTTTCTTTTCTTTGATTGCATATCTCATTGTGTCAGTTACAGTCTTCCAAAAAGGAGATTTCAAGATGGGTTAAGCATGTATTGGGAGAACAGCTGTGAAAGATACAGGGGAAAAAGCAGGAGTAGGCGGGGAGAACCTTTAGATCAAGACACGCATCTGGCTTCTGTGAAAAGAGAGGAAGAGAGAACCTCAGCTTATAGCACAGTTCTGTGAAAACTTTAGCAAAACTGACAGGGCATCTCCAAGCAAGAGTTGTCTGTGAGAGGAATCTCAGATGAGGCAGAATAGATGGGTACAAGAACCCACACCATGATCTGTGAATGCGAGGAACAGCCTAGAAATGAAACCTCAGCATTCACAGAATGCAGGTGGCAGTGTCAGTCATTCATGCTCTCTATAGGATGTTTTACCAATTAATAATTATCTATGTCTGTCTATCTATCTGCCAGCAGATACATGTGCACGCCGGAGAGAGAAAGAGATAGCACTCTCCACTGAGGCATGCTCATGCCACGATTCCTTCTACATTTTTTGATCTGCCAGGATTTGGAGCACACAAACACATCCAGTGTGGTTTTCAAGCTTCTGGGGCCAGGATTTGAACCATGGTCAGCCATTTGGGCTATCGCTTACTATGCACAGGACTTAACTGCTGTGCTATGAGGTCGGCTTTCCACAGCATGTTCTCTTGAAGGCGGTATCAGAAGACCACTGTGATGGCCATCGTGCTGATAGATGTTCACAATTATGATGATACCATTCCTGATGTTGTTCACTTGGTTGAAGGTGGTATCAGTCACATTTCTCCACTGCAGGCATGGTAGTTGCTGAACGGTGTTTTCTATCGCTGTCATTCCTTCCAGATTTATTTATTGGCATTAGCTATAGAGGAGCTTTCTCTGTCCCTATTCACTTAACGAACTTATCTATGGTTATCTGTATGGACTCATACATTACCATTTTATTGGTGGGTTATGAGTATCATCATTATTTACTTTGGTAATCAAATTGTCCCAGATGTAAATACCAGGAATCCCTTCAAGATAGCTTTTGTATCTCTTTAAGGGTCCAATCATACTTTAGGCTTTTCCTTACTTTAAGCTCACAAAAAGAGTTCCAGGCTTGTATTTTGATCTCAGTCCTAGAATTAGCTACTTCTCTGAGAAGCACTAGATCCTCTTAGTAAAGAATACCAATAGTACCAATATCTGGGTACTTCAAGTTCTCATTATTGAAATATTATTTCTGCCAGCTCCTTGCGAGAACAGAAAAAAAAGTCTATGTGTATATACAGGTTGAATATCCCTTGTCCAAAATTCTTGAGACCAGAAGTGTTTCAGATTGTTTTTTCAAATTTCTTGAATGTTTGCATATACATAAGGAGATAGCTCAGGGATGGGACCCAAGTTTAAACACAAAATTCATTTATTGGGACCAGCAGTTGGCATAATGGATATGTCGCTGGACTCCCACGTAGTCGACCGCGGTTTGAGTCTTGGACCTGGCGGCTTAAACTCACGCCGGGTGGGTGTGCGTGCGTGCCCAAGATCCCGAGAGGAGAATGGAGGAGAAGGGACTGTGGCATGGCCATCCCCCCTGGGGGATGATTTCTTGCTTTCTGTCTGTCTGGCGAGCGCATGTGCCCTATAGCAAAAACCTCTAAAATAAAAATTCATTTATGCTTCATATATACCTTATACATATTCTGAGAGTAATTTTATATAGTATTTTTGTATTACAGAGTTGTGACTCTAACCCATCACAGCTTAGGTGTGTGGCATGTTGATACTCAACAAATTTATGAGTATGCAGTATTGTGGATTTTTTTTTTCTTTTGAGAGATTTTTGCTATAGAGTGCATGCACTCTTGAGAGAGAGAGAGAGAGAGAGAGAGAGAGAAAGTGAGAAATCACCCCCAAGGGGGATGGCCATGCTGTAATTCCTTCTCCTCCATTCTCCTCTCAGGGTTTTGGGCATGTACGCACATGTGCCCAGTGTGAGTTTTAAGACACCGAGTCTAAGATTTGAACTGAGGTCAACTACATGGGAGTCCAGCAACATAACCATTATGCCATCTGCTGATCCCTTATTTTGGATTTAAAATGCTCAACATGTATATACAACATAAAAGGGGACTTTAAAAAAGTTTGGAGAAATGAAATGAAAATGAGTTTATTTTGGCATATAAATTTGAAATCTATCCATTTTTCATAATACGCATCTTCTATGAACTTTTCGAAGACCTCCTTATATATACATACACATGCTTATGTGTGTTTATTTCCATATCGTTGTTGTCCATGTACCTCTATCTAGAAAATCATATTAAAATCCAAATCCAATGCCGAAAGCTTCATTTTAAGTTTCTTGCTTTCTATATTCATAACTCCTTCCTCTCACAGTGAAAAATATGGCTTCCATTTTACTCAGTATATTTATTTTTCAGTCCTCATGTATAAAAGCAATCTCAAGACCTCATTAGGCCAGCACCCCACTTTGTGCTGTCCTTGAACAACTGCTGACATTCTTCTAGGATACTATCGTGCTCCATCTCAAGAAACTTTAGAAACACCAAGGTCTTCTTTGTTGTTTTTAGTTTGTGATAGGGCATGTGTGCTTGCCAGAGAGAGTGAGAGAAAGTGATAACACACCCCCTGGCAGGGGTGGCCATGCCACAGTCTCTTTTCCTCTATTTTGCTCTGGGCACACATACACACATACCTTGAGTTCTAAGTCAGTGGGTCCAGGACTCGAACCTCACAGTAAGCCACATAGGATCTGGCTGCCTTAACCACCATGTCCTCATCTGGCCCACATCAAGATCTTTGTAATAATTCATATCATCATTGACATAAATAGTCCAATCCATACTACCAAAAATTGAATTTAACTGGAGACAGTGTGGGAAGAAGGTGGAAGAAGGGGGAGAGGGTGAGGAAAGCAATCAAGGAGAAAAATAAAGAGGCAAGACATTTATGGGACACAGAAATGGATGATTATCTGTTAAAGTATACATTAAATGTATACATAAAGTATACATTATCTTCAACTGGATGGGTGTGAAGTGAATACATGTTGGGTAAATTCACTTTACAAGCTATAGTAGTGATTTATAGTGATTGAATGTATAAAAGAAAACTGGGCCCGCAGGTGGCATGGTGAAGAGCACTGGACTCCCACGTGGCTGACTTCAGTTCAAGTGCTGGACCTGGTGGCTTGCTTTCTCACTCTCTTTTTCTTTCTCTGTCTCTATCCCTCTTTGGTCAAATTTAATAAATACATAAATAAATCTAAATAAAATAATTATTTAAAAAATAAATTAAAATTAAAAAAAGAAAAAGATATACTGGGGCCAGCACATGGCATGCTGATTAAGGTGCTGGACTCCCACCTGGTTGACTGTGGTTTGAGCCCTGGACCCAGCTAGTGCCTGTTATGTAGCCAAAAAATGACTGAGTGAAAATCCAAAAAATTTAAATTATTTTCTCACAAATAAGAGAAGTACTGAGAAAAGAAAAAATTGGCATCACAGACCAGAAGAATGTAATAAACCATTTATGAAAGAAGTTGGAGAACTCAAAAGATACGAAATAAGTCTTAGTTATATGTTAGATTAAAAAAATTTAAATTGTTACAAAAGAAGGTAGGAGTCAACCAGAAAAATAATTACTGCACTAAAATTTTGCTTACAACAAAAATACAAAAACAAAATATTGCAAATATTGCTATCACACCCTATTAACCTTTTACTTCAATGTTTCTTAATCTTTTTTTATCAGAGATCCCCTTGAGTACCATGCATGTTATAGTCCCCACCTAAAAACAATAAAAACATGGTGACAAATGTATGTTCTTTAGAAAACTTTCCTGACCTCCCTACAAATTCAATAATTTCTCCAAGTACTCCTTTCACTGTCATTTTGTGCAATAATAATTTTTACACTGACATTTTACCCTGTATTACTGGTTGTAAAGTTAAATTACTTTATGTAAATAAGTTTTTAAAAATATTACTTTGTGCAAAAAGTTAGGAGCCAGGTAAGAGTTGAAATAATATTCTCCTTTACTCTAACCCATAAATAACCAACTAAACACAGTCTGCAAAAAGCACATTCACATATTAAAAGTGCTTCTCCATTGCTAAGAACAAGCTAGTTTGGGGTAATAATAGCTAATGCTTCTTGTGTACTTAACACTTAACCCGTATTAAACTGTTATACTGGTGAATTTTCTACTTTTCATAATTACCCTGTAAGACAGGCTGAGGGGTCTTCAGAAAGTTCACAGAAAGTATGTATTATGAAAAAACTATGTATGGATCTCAAAACATTTTTGCACCAAAATAAACTCATCCTGCAATTCCATTTTTCATGAACTTTTTGAAGACCCCCTTGTATTATGATCTGGGTGAAGAAAGTGAAGCATAGAGAAATTAAGTAACTTAACTTTCAAGTACCCAAACAGTGGCCATTAGACTTGAACATTGACAGTTGGCCTTATGAATAAAAGCTCTTCCTCATAGCATCATTCACAATAGCCAAGATATGGAAATGAACCAAAATGTCCAACAAATAACTGATAAAGAAAATGTGATACACACACACAGAAATCCTATGCAGCCATTTAAAAGGATGAAATCCAGTCATTAAAGGTGAAATAAGTGAGTGGGCCTAAAGGATATTGTGTTAAGTGAAGAGTTAGGTATAGAAAGTGAAATACCATATGTTCTCTTCCATATGTAGAAACTGAAAAAAAAAAAAAAAAAAAAAAGACCTCAACGGAGAGGAGAGAAGAACGACTACTGGAAGCTGGAAAGGATGTGCCAGTGGGGGAAATAGAAAAATGGTGATTAATGGAAACAAAAATTACAGAGAAAAGGAACAATGTCTACTGCTATAAAATATAGTGGGTAGAATGTTAACTTACTGTGTATCTTTTTTTTTTTTTTGAGAGGTTTTTGCTATAGGGCGTGTGCGCTCGCCAGACAGAGACATAGAGACAGAAAGCAAGAAATCACCCCCTAGGGGGGATGGTCACACCACAATCCCTTCTCCTCTGTTCTCTCGGGATCTTGGGCACACAAGCACACGCACCCGGCGTGAGTTTTAAGTCACCAGGTCCAGGATGTGAACCGCGGTCGAATACATGGGAGTCCAGCGACATAGCCATTATGCTAACTGCTGGTTCCCACTTACTGTGTATCTTGAATAGCTAAAAAAGATTTTTAATATTCCAAACACAAAGTAATGACAAATGGTTGAGATGATTGCCCCAATTTAATTATCACATACTATATTCATGTACAGAAAAAACATGTTGTACCCCATTATGTTCGCTAAAAATTTAAAAAGGCACCCTTCAATACTGTACTATAGGACCTCAAATATTTGAGCAGAAGACTATCAATTGGGATGTTTTAATAGGAATTGACTTCAGCCATGCCAATAAAAGGAATACAGATTTTACCCTTATTTAAAAATTAGTGCATTTTTCTCCTTTCCTTTTTTGATTACCTTCTCTCTCATTCTTTCCTCTCAGTTCTCCATGTGAAATTTCTACTACCACGAAAGTAATCCATCTTAAATAGTAGGCTTCCTTCCATATTTTACCTATACTTATTTAATCCTCTATGCTAAGCAGCAGATATTCACATGCACACATACACACACATATACAAAGGAGATAATGACATTTTCTCCATCTTGTTTCTTTCACAAAATAATACTTTCTGGAAATCCCTCTCTTATATATATATCTAGTTTGCCTTTCTAATGGCTTCTTACTTTTCCATTGTGTGAATAGTCATTCCCCTATGAGCTGTGCTGTTTTCTGTTGACACCAAGAACAATAGTGCAATTAATATCAGACACAAGAAGTGCCAGTGGTGGCATGTGAAGCAGGCAGGCTGAGTTTCTTGAGAGAAGCTTCTCTTCTTCTGGTCTTCTTGAATACTCTTCTCAGGTCAGCAGGAAAACAGACCATTCAGCTCCTTCTCAGCCACCTTGGCGGGGCTCCAGGAGAACTGACATATCTTAGTGGGGCCAATATCAAATGTCCATTCAGAAGTCACAGATTTGAAAGCCAAGGTCTCCTTGAGACATTCCACCAGTACTTACCAACTCATAGAGGAGAAACCCATATCCTGCTTCTCTGCCTAGACCCAATAGCAAGACTTCATCAACAGCCAGACACCAAGTGAAGGGAAGGGAGACCTCAGGCTCAATGTTCCCTGGATCTGTCCCAAGTCCATCTAATAATTTAATGCATGGTTATGAAACCAGTCTAAAAGGCTGATATAAAACAAAACTGTTCTATTGTATTTTTAGAAATGTGATGACATAAAACCAGTTAATTAACTTAAAATCAGTGTAATGAGTTGAAAAACTTAGTGGAAAACTACCCAGTTCCCTGACCTTTCTGCCACGGTCAATTCAGGACAGGACAGTAAAAGATAAAGAATATTAAATAGGCCATGCTTTAAAATATTAATCTGAAAATGACTTTATAACTAATGAAGAGGACCAAAGAGTTCCTTATCTTCTACTGTTTTATGATAGTCATGAATTTTACACATCCTAAATGTAAATACAGTTACATTAAAGCATACCAGTCTAACTGTATATGTACTCAGAGAATTTTGTAGTTTTTAGATTATGCATTTTTGGCTCAATACACAGTTTATTCACTCTCTCCTAGCCAACTTTGCCACATAATTTGTGATTTTTCAAGTTATTCAGTTAGCGGACTACCTTCCAGGATATCAAGTTGCTTTTAAGGCAGTGTTATCAATTAGTAGTTATTCAATTTAGATAATCAACTTTGCTGAAATCATGGCAAAATGATTCAACATAAATCGACCATATACGCATACCTCGTTTAATATCACCATATATATAAAACGCTATCCCTAAACATGTTCAATATTTAAGTGATAATACCGTATACTACTAACATGCATTTTCCCATCTGCAGGGTGCTGGCAGGCGCCGTCAGCTGAGAAAGTGCACACGGCAGACAATACCGTGAACCTTGGACACTGAGCACACAAGACCCGTATGTCCTTTGATGAGTGGCATGAGGTTACTCCTGCAACCTTTCCATTTTGTCTTCTAGCTAGAGGTTTTGACCCATGATGGCAAAAAAAAAAAAAAAAAACCCCAAAAAAACAACAAAAAAACTTATGCAACAGTTTTCCTACAAATAAACAAAGACAAGTACCATTCTAGGTGCTAAAATGAAAGTTTCATTGCAGCTGGAATGTGCCCACAAAGAAACTGTCATAGAAAGAGAGTAGTGATCAACAGAAACTTAGACCTGACATTATGAAAAGCATCATGAGTATCACAATAGCTTGAGACAAATGACTAGCAACTGTTTGACTGACAGGTGGCACTTCATAACTCAAGAGTTCAAGCACAAGGAAAAAACAGAAGAGTGCCAGCCGAAGTAAGACATCATAATTATTTTCCCATAGGGTTTCTACTGTAACCATAACCACCCCAAAGAAGGTTATCAGGGTTCCATTTTAAAGGGCACATCATCCCTTCCCTGTGAATTGCTCCCTCCCGTGAGACATGTCTCTCTACACCCATTAAATAATAAAGGGAAAGAATGAGAAGAGAGAAGGAAAATAAAATATTACCTTTTATTTTCTGAGGCACACAAGTGATTTGGGGTATCAGTTATCAAGACATTTTACTGATGCACCTATCTTAAAACTTCAGCCACTTTAGAAAATCGTTTGCAGCAATCAGTTTGCAATTCAGAAGTACCAGGTTGTAATTTAGTTGCAGAATAAGTTAACAGTTTATATATTCAATATGTGAGGTTACTGAACTCCTGAGTTTAAAATATCTGTGGAAGGAACAGTGATTCCTCTCCTTTCTTTAATGGCTTTTCAGCTTAAAACATAGTATAATTTAAAAAATTATACCCTAACTACTTTATTACAACAGAAATTAAAAATGTCCAACCTAAAAACCAGATAATGCTCTACTGACCATCATTCTGATACAGTGAGTAGCCTCTTATTAAAACAAAATTCCATCTCTGAGGTCATCAGCGTAGGTCAGGACTGTTGTTTACTGTTGTTTATGTGGATAAGCCTCTTTTCTCTGCAAATTCTGCTTGGCTGTGAGCAGCATGGATTTACTACCTTTTTAAGGATTGACGTGCACCAACCTGGTGTATGCCTAGTGATTTCCTCAACTGTTCTAAAGACGGCCCCACAGCTAACAAATATCAACACATGAAATTCATAGCACCTTTTCCAAGACAGTCCAAAGAGCACTGAACATTAACACAGTAATGCTGGGGAAATCCTTGTACCTACAGCACTTAGCTTCGTTACAAAGGGCAAATAAGAGCAATTAGTACACCGAATTGCTTCACAAGGAAGAAAATGTTTATAGTCACATTCTCAACCACATCAGGGGAAAGCCTTAGAAAGGTGTGTAGCTGGATACAAAGTAACCAAGGGAGAGTATGGCAGGTTCTGAATAAATCCAGTCACTTCTGAACCCATGATACACATTCAGTGACAAGAGATTTGGTTATAGTATTTTCGCAAACTCAGAGAATACAGATTTCAAGTCATTTCATAGAACAGATGATCAAATGAAAATTGACATGACAGCATTTAGTAATTATATACATGTCTGTAAAAGGAGACACCACTTTAAAATAATGTACATGACAAAATTCGGCAAAGAGTAAACAAAATCATTAACAGTAAACCAGAAAAATATGGAAAATGTAGGAAAAGGCTCAGAGTTTATAAACAGAACATATATTTCATCAGATTTGGAAATCAGGTATATTGTATGCTTTATTAAATGTGCATAAAACACTTTCATACTGCACTTAGACAGTGTGAATTATCCAAAACATTTCATTTCTATAAATCTACATGACTGTGGCATTTTATAAATACAGATGACTAGAGGCAATATTTGGGCAACATGAAGTATCATGTAGATGTGGGTGTTCCCATACATCTGGGATGCAGGGATAAGATGGAGTAAATAAGGCATGGCAATGTTTTGAACAATTTATATTCAGCACAACCTATAACACCAAGCCACTAAATTCACTATCAAACAGCAAGACTAGAGTGGACTGCTCTTTACATGAAGGCTGGAAATGCTAAAGAAAGAAAAAGCTGCAGCTTATTGATTATTATTTTAGAAATAGCCAATCCATGTTATTGTAAGGAAAAAAAAAGTAGAAGATTTACATAAAATTATGATTGGCAGAATACAGAAAATTTCTTTTTCCTTTATGTATTTATTACAAGTACCAAGCAAAGTGTAACAATTGGAAGAATCATTACAAACTACCAGAAGGTATTCATTTGGTGAAATCATTCAAGTCATAAGTACTAATAAATTCACTTCAAAATACATGAGGTGTAAAGGAAGTATGAAAGAGGTGATCTTCAATGATGACTCCTTCAATATCAACTAACCAACAAAGAAGCACAAGAAAAATATTGGCAAGTAAGACTGAAAGACTAAATCAAATGTATTGCTCAGAGGGATTGTAAACTGAAATTATGAAAAACAAAAAACTAACCAGGCAAATAGGATTCAAAAAAGAAAAAACCTAACAGGTAATTAGAATTCAAAAAAAGAATAAGAATAGTCCAGTACTATATATATATATCCCCCCCCCCAACAATATTAGAAGAAAGAATTTGAGACCAATTATGCACTGTATACCAGGTAGCTCTCAAGTGTTTGCACTTGAGACATATAAGTGAACTTTACTGTACTAAAAGCAGAAAAAACTTAGGTATTGTAAAAGAAAGAAAAATGACTATAATTGAACAGAGTAAAAAACTTACGCATTAAAATGATTAAATTAATCTCTAGAATAAGACTAGAATAATCTGCTTTCAAAGAATTCCTTTGTATTTAGTAAGTCAGGGCAAATGGTTTTACCCTGAAGGAAAGGCAAATGGGAGCTCTCTGATAAGTTGGAATCTTTATAGCAAAGAGAAAAGATACCTACCCGAAATTTTTCATTAATATCTATAATCTCATTTGTAAAAATAAAAAAATCATAAACTTCACAATTAAACCATTTTAAAAATAAAGGTAATGAGTAATATACATTGTTATATGAATCATAGGCCGAATTATTGTATTCTACAGTTCTAAGTGTTATTAATAAATACACTTGATTTATGCTACCAAAGAAAGAATTGAGACAATTTCACATTTCAGAATTCCTGAGTCTTATCAGAGAAAAATAAGTACCAAAAAAACCCCACCAAAAAAAGCCTACCTATAGTAGGGCAAATAATACAAATTTGGGCACTGAGTTAATGTTATCCTTATAGTTTTAAAGCTGACCACTACAGGGACAAATAAGTACAATGGAATTATAAACATGACTTTAAAGCTTGGTTCTTAAAAAGGCGTTTTGATCAAAAAAGGCCACCTGAGTGACATCGTCAACGATGGTAAACCCACCATTTCAAAGGAATAACATCTTTATTTCAAAGCCTAATTATTAATATAAAAAGGAAAAAAGTTTAACAAAATGTTTTAGTAGGATTGCAATGGGACAGCCCTTTGATGAAAGATCTCGGGAGGGTAAAGCCAATGTAACTGAATTAGAACAGGAGTTCTAATTTTGAATCATCACCCACTAAATTGTTTCCCTTTTGCTTTGCATATTACACAGTGAAAATAAAAGGTATCTTAAGAGCACTTCAGTCCCACAATGTAGGATTTAAGCCTGTGTGAATAGGTGTAAATGGCCCTGCGATAATGTGATGCTTGCAAAAATACATTCAACTGAAAGTCAATGTCTGTTTTCTATTAGAGTAAGGAAAAGAGAAGCAAACTGGGCCCACTTGAAACAACAATTCAAAACAAGACAAAACACTGCTTGTCCTTTCTGGAAAGACTATCAAAGCAAAGAACATCCAATAATATTATACATTTAAAACTATACTTTTACTCATCTTTGTAAGGAGGAAAGATGCATACAACTAACTATTCATGGACTTTATAAATAAAGACACTAAGAAGAAAAAATATATATTTGGGTTATTTCTCTGTTCATAAGTACCCAGAAATTAAACAATTAAAAACACTAAAGTGCAGACCTATAGGCCAATACAGGCATAATAAAGAGGTGCAGCCAAAATCGCATCTACATTTACACTTACATATCCAGAAAATGATTCTTGCTTTAAAAAAATTGTGCAATTTAAAAACTAGTCAGTTTCGTTTGTGCCGTAATACAATTAGAACATGTCTCTGCCCACTACCGAAGTGACTGCTAGACCTTGGACAGCACACTAGGCTCCTGACAACCATACATTTTGTTAGAATCATACAATATTGATTCCACCTCCAGAAAATGTTAGGGTCCTCTTGTTGTAGAATGAAGAGCCACTGGTATTTGGTTGATTAACCAGAGAGGTTTTCAGTTCCATTTCACAAGCTACAATAGCTGCATTCAATTCCACTTGAGCTCGATGAACTACATAAAACATGAGGCCTATACTTATAATAATCTGCAAATAAAAATAAAATATTACAGTTATCAATATTTTATACAGCATATAGACCTAAATGTAATAAACATTTAGCTTAGAAATGCTTCAAACAGGATGCTTCTCAAATATGGCAGGTAAAGGGTTATGCATGTTTAAATATTATATATATTTATTCTTTGTGTTCCTGTTTCTTCTGGCAGTACAGAGGGCCAAAGACTATAGGTAACGGTTATAGGCTATTAGGCAAACACACAGCCAACATAGTAGCCCATCAGGAGAGGCATGATGTATTTTTCGGTTTTTCTATGCAAAAATGAGTCATGGCTTTCCCAACAATCCAATATACTCCTTTTGGTCCGTATCAATGATGCTCACTTGATACCAGTCAAACTTCTTTCAAATTTGTATCAAAAAGCTTCCTTCAAGGAATCAAAAATGTCTACGGTAGAATAGCTGATTAAGATTTATTAGAGTAACTATGTAGTACTGTATCTTTGTTCAACTATAAATACCCATAGGTATTTCTAAGCCCACTTCAGAAAAAAGCACTACCATTTGCAATGAACTACGTGGTGTAAACAAAAAGCTCTGAGAATTACTTAACCTGAAATGCTCATAAAACTTCAAGAAAAAAATTAGCAAGAGATTGTAAATATAAAATTGTACTTAGGAAAAAAAAACAAAAACAACAGAAAACATAAAGATGATTAAAAAATTAAAATTCCATGGAAAGGGATACAAGAAAAGGCATCAACTTGATCACACTTAGTCATGTCTCTTGGGTTAGCCATTTACAAGTGGTATGACTTAAGGAAATCCTTTAAATCATGTGGAATTCAGTTTCCTATTGTCTAGTAAGAAGCTGTGGTTTCTCTATGCATCAATATCCTACATACAATCCATATAACCCATCAGATTGTCTATGCAGTTCAATTCTTTCGGAATGATTTGTATTTCAAAATCCCAATAGTCAGTTCTCTAGGGCAGGAGTCCCTCAACCCCAGTACCCATCTGGCTGGTTAGGAACCAGACCACACAGCAGGTGAGCTTCATCTGTATTTACAGCCACGCTCTCATGTTACTACTGGAGCTTCACCTCCTCTCTGACCAGCAGAAGCATTAGATTCTTATAGGAGCCCCCTGATGGGACAGTTTAGTTTCAGGAAAACAAGCTTAGGGCTCTCACTGATTCTGCATTATGGTGAGTTGTATAATTATTTCCTAATATATTACAGTGTAATAATAACAGAAATAAAGTGCACAATAGATTTAATATACTTAAATGATCCTAAAACCATCCACCTCCCCACCCTCTACCTGTGGAAAAACTGCCTTCCATGAAACCGATTCCGAGGGTCACAACAGTGGGGGACTGCTGCTCTAGGGTTTGCAGCAAATATAGCAAGTTTTATTTAACGTCCCAGCAAGTTTACTAAAATATGACACGGTTTCAACTAAACCTACCCATAATCGTAACATAAACTTCGGAAAAAGTATTCTAAATCCAACTGTTGAGGGTGGCAGGGGAGGTGGGGCAGTTGAGGCAGAGCATACTGGAGATATGTTAGGCAGGGTGGAGGGAAGGAACCTGGCACTGGTTAAATTGGTTAATTTAAAGGTAGGTCTTTAAAAACTGTCATTATTCTCTGTTAGTCCTCTTTAAAAGCAGCAAAATATACTTACTGAAAATTCTTAAGTTTAATATTCATCAGTAGATAGTATCAACATAACAAAAGATGAAGAAAATGTTAGAGAATTAATTACAGGCACACTGCGTGTAAATGAGACGCCAAGTTCTGTTTAAGACACGCTAAACTGGAGGTGCCTATTAGACAACCGAAGCAGTTCAATTAATGGGTCTGAAGCAATGGAAAGAGGGCTGGGTTAAGATGTGTGTGTGGGTGTCACTCATTACACAAATAAGAATATTAGCAGCTACCATAGTTACTGGATTTGCTAAGGGGAAAAAAAAAAATCAGAGTTCGTCTAGAAAGGCTAGACTAGAATCTTCAGAAATACAAATACCTGAGATGAAAAGAAGAAAAGCCCAAGATAGGCAAGCAAAGGAAAAAAACAAGATAGTGATATAAAAGACACAAAGGGAAAAAGGTACTTTAATACAGTAATAAAGCCATTGACAACAGAGTCTTAGGCTGCTAAGAGGTCAAGATACAGGAGAACTGGAAAGTGCATCTATCTGATTTAGATGAGGCTAATGATGACCTTAGAAGACAGCAGCATGAGGGAAGGATATGTGTAGCAGGGTATGTGTGGACACAGGGAGAAATGCTCTTCGGCTTGCAGCAGGGGTGAACTGACATGGGGGATATTCCCCAGTGGTCCTTCTAGACCCCAGAGCTCGACAATCTTTATGGACTCTCCCCAAATATGCCCTCACCCTCTTCTTTAGCTCAGGAATATGAAGGAAGGAAGGGGAAAAAAATGAGAATAGTATTATCAACAATAAATTTATAACATGATACTATATGTTCATTAGCAGTATATAAATTAAAGCAAACAAGTTAAAGGACAAATGAGGTAAGACTATAGGTCTATCTCATTAGTACTGTCTGTTCGGATTATTAGAACCTATTGATTATGAGCACTGTGAAAACCAATAGATTTAATATACTTAAATGATCCTAAAACCATCCACCTCCCCACCCTCTACCTGTGGAAAAACTGCCTTCCATGAAACCGATTCCGAGGGTCACAACAGTGGGGGACTGCTGCTCTAGGGTTTGCAGCAAATATAGCAAGTTTTATTTAACGTCCCAGCAAGTTTACTAAAATATGACACGGTTTCAACTAAACCTACCCATAATCGTAACATAAACTTCGGAAAAAGTATTCTAAATCCAACTGTTGAGGGTGGCAGGGGAGGTGGGGCAGTTGAGGCAGAGCATACTGGAGATATGTTAGGCAGGGTGGAGGGAAGGAACCTGGCACTGGTTAAATTGGTTAATTTAAAGGTAGGTCTTTAAAAACTGTCATTATTCTCTGTTAGTCCTCTTTAAAAGCAGCAAAATATACTTACTGAAAATTCTTAAGTTTAATATTCATCAGTAGATAGTATCAACATAACAAAAGATGAAGAAAATGTTAGAGAATTAATTACAGGCACACTGCGTGTAAATGAGACGCCAAGTTCTGTTTAAGACACGCTAAACTGGAGGTGCCTATTAGACAACCGAAGCAGTTCAATTAATGGGTCTGAAGCAATGGAAAGAGGGCTGGGTTAAGATGTGTGTGTGGGTGTCACTCATTACACAAATAAGAATATTAGCAGCTACCATAGTTACTGGATTTGCTAAGGGGAAAAAAAAAAATCAGAGTTCGTCTAGAAAGGCTAGACTAGAATCTTCAGAAATACAAATACCTGAGATGAAAAGAAGAAAAGCCCAAGATAGGCAAGCAAAGGAAAAAAACAAGATAGTGATATAAAAGACACAAAGGGAAAAAGGTACTTTAATACAGTAATAAAGCCATTGACAACAGAGTCTTAGGCTGCTAAGAGGTCAAGATACAGGAGAACTGGAAAGTGCATCTATCTGATTTAGATGAGGCTAATGATGACCTTAGAAGACAGCAGCATGAGGGAAGGATATGTGTAGCAGGGTATGTGTGGACACAGGGAGAAATGCTCTTCGGCTTGCAGCAGGGGTGAACTGACATGGGGGATATTCCCCAGTGGTCCTTCTAGACCCCAGAGCTCGACAATCTTTATGGACTCTCCCCAAATATGCCCTCACCCTCTTCTTTAGCTCAGGAATATGAAGGAAGGAAGGGGAAAAAAATGAGAATAGTATTATCAACAATAAATTTATAACATGATACTATATGTTCATTAGCAGTATATAAATTAAAGCAAACAAGTTAAAGGACAAATGAGGTAAGACTATAGGTCTATCTCATTAGTACTGTCTGTTCGGATTATTAGAACCTATTGATTATGAGCACTGTGAAAACCAACAACTTTGGTTTAAATCCTGGTTCTGCCACCATAGCTGTGACTTTGAAAAAGTTACTATCCAGTGGTTTCCTTGTAAACCAGTTCTTGGGGAGCAGAAGTGGGTAGTTTGATTTGTACCTTTTGTCATTTCCCAGGGTATCTAATGTTCCTGCTATGGACAGTTTCAAGATACCACAGAAGTATCACTGAATGAAAGATTGGAACACAATCAACTCAGGATAATTCAAGTCTGTAACTCATAAGGTTTGGGTAAGGATTAAATGAGCTTAAGTTGTATATAAACAAAGGTTAGCTGTGATTTTTTTTTTTTTTTTTTAAAGAGAGAGATTTTTTGCTACAGGGAGCCTGCACCCACTGGAGAGACAGAGAGACAGAAAGCGAGAAATTACTCACCAGGGGGTATGGCCATGCCACAATCCCTTCTCCTCCATTCTCCTCTCGGTATCCTGAGCATGCATGCACATGCGCCTGCCCTGAGTTTAAGCTGCTGGATCCGAGACTCAAACTAGGAGGGAGTCCAGCAATGTAACCATTACACCATCTGCTGGTCCCAGCTATCATCATCTTATTAACTAGTCAAAAATTCTGGTGATTTTTGATTTTGGCAAATCTCAGGAATAAAACATTTCAAAATTTAAAAAATGGACTTTTAAAACTCATCATGCATGCAATTTTAAGGTCCTAAATGTATTTATCTACATGACAGAATTTTCCTTTTTCATCAGTTTATTATATGGAATTATGTGCACCCCAAACTATAACAAGTACTAACAACAAATTACACATCATATTCAGATTTGTAATGAAAACACTAGACAGTTTTTATAAGGCAATCTTTTTTAAAACAATTATTTTTGTTCTATATCAAACTACTAGAAAGAAATGTGTATTACCGATGTAACTAATACTCTAAAAAATACAAACAGAAGAGTTTCAATCATTCGAAGATAACGTAGTATGATAAAAACTCAACTCTATCAAATATCAGTAAAATTATCTTCAGAAACATGTTTATACTACTTTACACAAAGTCAAAATTGTATTTGATTTTTGATAACTGAAAATAATCACAGGAAAAGAACTCTATTTTGTCATTCTTCTTCTTTGTATCTTAAAGAAAATTTCTAGTAAGTATCAATTCAGTTTTGCACACTTTCATCTATCCACACAATTAAAAAATTTAATGTTGTCGAAATGTGAAGCAGCATTGAAAGAACAAGAAAAGATCTAAAAAGGAAAAATCCTCTTAAATTATTTTCAATGAAATCTGTTCAGTTTAAATTAACAATGCAATGTAAAAAGAAAACAGGAGAAAACCCTTGGCCTTAAACTCACCTGTAAACAAAAAACAAAATATCCACTAACACTCTGTTCTGCAATGACATCTTCCATTGTCCGCAGGGTGGTACCCAAGTAAGAATTCAGAAGCTGGGTAGGAAGCAGTCCAACTGAAGATGCCATCAGATAGTTGGGTAATGAGAGATCAGTAATCTAGAAGAGTAGATTAAAGCGAATGATTCATTACCAAGTAAAAGTTCCATCCAATATAAAAATGTGTTAAGTCTTGCTAATGGTTTTTCATTGTAAATAGAATAAGCTGAAATACTTGACAAAACCTTCTGACTTTTTAAAATGATTATAAAGGGAATACATGCAGAATGTAGAAGACTTGGGATAAAACAAACGCTGAAAGGAGTATCAAGCCTTAAGAAGACTGCAGCCCTGGCTGACATCATGATTGCAGCATTGTGAGGGAGCCTGTCAGACAAATCCAGGTAAGTGGCATAGGAATTCCTGACTCACAGAAGCTGTGAGACTGTATTTCTTAGGTTAAGATACTAACCTTTTTCTTTCAACTTGCCATAGGGTGTGTGATATCACTGGAAAGGGAGGGCAGGAAAGTGAGAAAGCACCTCCTAGAAGGATGGCCAGAGCTGCAGCAGCAATCCCTCCCTCCTCCCATTGTCCTATGGGGATTTGGGGCATGCATACACATGCTCCTGACATGTCTTTCAAGCCACCATCTGGGAAGTGAACCACACAGATGGTCATGTGAGATCTAGCTGCCTTAACCACACCACCAGCTGGCTCAAGACACTAACGTTTGAAGAGATGTTACACAGCAATAAATGACTAATACAAAATGTATCTCAATATTTTAGGATACCCCATTCTGAGCTCAAACAGTTAGCATTGTTTATTTTCCCAAAACACTTGCACCGATGCATGTGTCCATCAGAAAGTAATACATGAATGTGCCCATTTCATATTTTTATCCATGTAAAGTATTAAAACCCAAGCTTCTTTGATTTGATAAAAATAAAAATGTTTCATCATTATTTAACCTGTACTATTTTAATTTATATTTTATACTAGTTTTCTATATGCATTTTTTGCACTTCTTTTATCACTTTATTTGCTCTTTTATATTGGAAGGTTAAGTATTTTTCTTATTTATTGTCAGTGGTCTATGTAAGGTGAGGGCAGCCTTTCATCTACTATATGCGGCTGTATTTCCCACTGAAGGGTCCTTCTTCTTGGCACACAAATGTTTCTAATTTTATATGTAGTCAGATATCATAAACATATTTTCCTCTCATTTTCCCATTGCTTTTAGCTGCACAAAATTTTTTCTTTAATCCATTGTTAGTTTTACCTATATAAAGATGTTTGATTAGGCTTTCCCTTTTAACATTTATGTCTTATTCTTTCTCATATTTATTCAGATTAAAGCAAGGATACAGTTTTATTCCCCTTGCCCCATCCTCCAGTTTTTGAGCATTATACACTGAATAGTGAATAACTTTTCTTTAGACTTGTGATGTTTACATTATAAGTGACAATACTGTATATAAAAGGTCTGAGGCCCATTTATCTCTCAAATCTTATATTAAACCAAGTTGCAGTGAAGACTATCAGTTAATCTCTGGCAAGGAATTGTCCATTCCCTTCAAAACCCTTCATTTCTCATCCTTTTTTAAGCTACTATAATTACTCTCACCTATTTTTCTTATGGTTCACTCTGTCATTCAAAAAGAAAAAAAAATTCAGTAAACTTTACATTAGGACAAAGGTAAATTTTCAAATAATTGGATGGACAGATATGAAATTACCAAAATATCTGATATTCTTATACAGAAGTGTTTGTATAATTACTCAAAATCTTATTTTACACCTATAACTAAAGTTTAGATTTATTCACACACATGCACTTATTAGTTTATTTCTAATAATTTCCAATTATTGTTGCAACTACTGCTATTAATTTTTTGAGAACAACTTTTCAGCAAGCCTATTTGGGTATTAGCAGTATGTAAAAAAGCTACAGGCAACTTTGTTAAACTTGTTTACTAATTTTAAGATTTGGTATTTTAATCAGCTATATATAGGTTACTGTATAACTATATTATAAGCCAATAATCATGTAAGTCGCATTTTCAATGGTGGCACATTTATCTCTATTCACAGGTAATGAAATGGAGGTGGCTTATGGCTAATACAGAAAGAATACTGTAGCAACCATTTGTTAACAAGTTACCTCTATCAATCACTAGCTCAATAACTGCCCAAGTATGAAGCTCTGATAGGGCCTTGTAAAAGATAAAAAGTAAGACAAAGTATCTGCCTTTGTAGGACTTACACACAAATACATACTAACTTTCTTAGAAACATGAAGAATAGCAGCCGTGAGGTCTATGTGCAGAACACTGAAGAGTAAGGAAGAGGCCAGCCCATGGTCTGGTGATTAAGGTACTGGGATCCTACATGGCCAACTGTACAGTTCAAATCCTGAACCTGGTGGCTTGAAAAACATGCTGGGCTCATGTGCATGAATATCCAAAATCTCAATGGGAAGGAGAAATGGAGAAGGAATTGTGTGTGACTATGTTCATGGGGGGAGTTCTCTCTCTCTCTCTCACAAGTACCTCTGGCAAATTAAAAAAACAAAACAAAACAAAACAGTAAGGAAACATTAAGATTAGTTGGGTAGATTGGTGGAAGTGGGTAGATTGGTGGAAAAAGGAATTGACAATGGACACAAAGCTAAACATGAGTGTGGCAGGCAAAGATAGGTGGGATGATGAAGGCCAATGTAGGTGTTCCAGGAAGAGAATGAACAAGGACAACGTGGGAGGGGAAGTACAAGGTGTACCAGCGAAGTGGGCAGTAGTTTGACTGTCTCTGGGCACATGCCAGGAAATTTTTCTGCAAAGACAGAAAACGTAGTTGGGATGATACTTGTCAGAGGCCTTGGATAAAAGAGGAAAATGCTTATACTCAGAGTCCAGTGAACAGATGATGTGAATGGAGCCATGGTTCCTCTGTCAATTTAGAGCACTTATAGAAGCAGAGAACTTTCTTTAGAATAAACATGTCAAACACATGAGTAAGATGAGTAAATCTGCCAAAAAAAAAAAGAGTCTTATAAAATTATTATATTACAGTTAACAAAACATTACATATTGAGGAAGTTACCTTTAAAATAAATATTTAAGTCCCAAAATATCAGAATGTAAAGTCTCAGTCCATAGCCTTTAAATGGAATGAAGTTTCTCTAAATATAACACATAACTGACATTCACATATGACATCCATAATATGCAAATGGGTATTTTAAAAACAGATCCTAAGTCTGAAACAGTCTTGTCACTGAACTCGTTATCGAGACCACTGTCCAATTTTTAAATCAAACTTTATCAAACTTCTCATGATGAAATCTCATTTAGAGAAAGTATTATTTATATTTCTTATCTGAAAAGCTGTATGCCTAAAGAAAGCAAAAATGAATTTCAGTTAATCACTGTAAACAGTTTTGCTGGAGTGTGTTCAATGACTTAACCAGTGGAGCAGTACAACAACTTACACACACAGTTTTAAACTACTGATACCTTTATTGAAGATAAACTGATTCCAAATTATTTTAAAATGGCATTTCTTTTTTTTTTGGAGAGGTTTTTGCTATAGGGTATGTGTGCTCACCAGAAAGACAGAGAGAGAGAGAGAAAGAAAGGGAAAAATCACCCTTCAGGGGGGATGGCCACGCTGCAATCCCTTCTCCTCTCAGGATCTTGGGGGCACACACATGTACCCGGCGTGAGTTTAAGACACCGGGTCCGGGACGTGAACCGTGGTCAACTACATGGGAGTCCAGTGACACAGCCATTATGCCAACTGCTGGTCCAACTGCTAAGAATGGCATTTCTAAGCCAAATTACTACTCAGAATCTCTACCTAACTTCTGTCTTTGACGAGACTCATCAAAACTTCTTCCTCCAATAAGCCATCATTCACCAAAAAAAATTTTTATTTATATTTTTTTAGGTTTTTGCCATAGGGTATGTGCATTAACTGGAAAGAGACAGAGAGGCAAAGAGAGGGAAAATAAATGCCCCCCAGCGGGGGTGGCCATGCTGCAATCCTTTTTTCTCCATTCTACTCTAGGATGTTTTTTTCAGGCTGCCGGGACTCAAACTGCAGAGCTGGCCATGTGGATCCATCCTAAACACCATGCCACCTACTGGCCCCTTTATCCACCAAAGTTTTAAAAATGTCTCCTTGTTCTACATTCCAGAAAGAATTCACATGAACCTAAAGCAGTCTTCACTGGAATTCCTGCCTTCTATACTCTTTAAGATCTTGGCTCAGGAGGTATCTTCCAATATCAAGAACTCTAGAAATCTCAACTTAAGATATCAGTGTTATCCTGTGGAATAAATTCTGTGATCAGAAATATTACAGTGAAACTTTCAGATATGGCAAATGCCACTTCACTACCATCTCTAATGCTTTCAAAACCCTAGGAGCACTTTAAAATTATGTCTATTCTTACTCTCAAAATACTGGGACTTACTTCGAGATGCAGTTCATTTATATGGGCCAGTAGGGGTTAACATAGAACATTATGTCACCATTATACCAGATAGAACCTGAAAACAATTAAGTATCCAACTTGGAGGGGCATGCTAAATTCTCAAAGAACAAGAGCTGCTTCACCTTGTTTTGGGGACGACAATTAAAAAAACACCCTCTATCTTCAAATCCTTCCCTCCACTCTCCTCACTGAACTTTGAGCCTGCTGCCCTCCCAGCACAAGCACAGAGTCCAGCTTCCTGGGCAACCCTGCCTGAGCTCTTCCAGTTTCTAAGTTTACGTCTCTTTGCACAACTGTTTTTCTGGCTTTAATGGACCCATTAAGAAACTTTTTCATTTTTGCAAAGAATATCTTGGCATGGATGGAATAAAGAATATAAAATGATCTGCTTGGAAGACCTCAAATTTTCTGTAAATCTGTGATCTAGTATGTGTTTTGGCAAACTAAACCTTCCTATATTTCTGGTTTATTTGGGGGGGATGCTGTTTATTGAACAATTACTATTAAGATATTAGATAATTTCAATTAAAATATATTTACTAATATTGGGAAACATCATGAATTCCTACAATGATTTTTAAAAGGAGGAAACTAGCAATCCCTTTACTGGGTATATATC